TATAATTACTATTAGAGGATAAATATCCAGTCATATCTACCAAATGAGTCAATTGCCTAGCACTGTGCTAGGTACTATAGTGAACACAAAAAAACCCTGGTCCCCAAGGAGCTTACTAACTAGTTTGGAGACTCAAGCTCTTTGTGCATAAACAACCAGAGGAAGATTCAAGAAAGGACAGTCTGCCTGACAAGAAGGTCATCCTTGGTGTGATGATGGGTCAGGGGGAGAAGAGCAGCTGGAGAGAGGTTAGGGAGCCCACAGAGGATCCAGAGGGCAGTCAGGTGGGGTGGGGGAAGAGAGAGTCCAGCTCTGTTCAGATGGGGAAACCTTCAAGGAGGGGATTAGAGGAGGGACACTGGATATCCAGGGTCCAAAAGACTTCTTCAGCAGGCAGCAGGGTCAGGGAGCTGATGACTTACACTCTGGGACCCAAAGGGTTGAGATGGAAAGAGTGGTAAGAAAAACTGGAATACTGCTATAGTCACCCAATCCTTCATTTCACAAATAATGAGTGCCAATTAGGGGCATGATTCTATACCAGGTGTGTGGAGATAAACTCTGTCCTCCAGGTGTGCAGCCTGGTGGGGGAGACCAGGGAGCTAGATGGATAACACTCAAAAGGCAGTGGGGCCCAGGAGAGTCCCGTGTAAATTCTCTGGACAGGGAAATAAGAGGCCTGGAGGAAGGGCTTAGGGCATTTGTCTACCTAGGACTTGAATTCTGTAAAGCAATTTGATAGTAAAAGAAATTAAAGTAGGAGGGAGATGGATAAAATGGGCCATAAAATCATAATTTTTTATATTAGCAAAAAACAGCAATGGCATGTGATCAACAAAGCACATGAAGACGTGGTGAATACAGTGTTTCCAAGCTGAAAGAGGAAACACAGGTGAAAAGAGAAGTGGAAATAGATCTTCAGCACCTGCTCACACCCACCTAAATGGCCATGACCCCCAGAACCCATCTCTCTGAGTCTCAGGTAATTTGTCAAATGGGATACCTTGTATTTCAAAGGGCAGCTGTGAGGATTGTGTGAGTCACAGTGCCTTGCACACTGCCTGTGTTACATGCTCAATAAAAGGCCTTTGTTGTTGAAACCTGGGTCGTGGAAAGAGGTGAATGCTCACAGAAATGAAGAATGTATTTAACTTTCTCCTCTCCCATTTCCCCCTCTTCTTCCTATGGTTCCCTGTCCTTTCTCTAACATGATGGTTGTGGGAAAAGAAGAGCCAAGGCACTAAAAACAGGAAATTTAGCAATGCAGATGGCCCCACCAAGGAAAAGGCAGGAAAAATGCAGGCTTGGGCAAGTTTATTAATGCAAATTTCTTTCAATGATGAGAAAATGTGAGCAGCAAGCAAGAAAAATATCAAGGCAGAAAGTAAGGAAAAAGGAAGCCAATTGGGTATGAAGAAGCTACTAAGAACCGAGTTCTGCAGGTAGGTCAAAGAAGGCATGACTATGGTGTGGTCAGTGTAATAAGTTAAGGTAAAGTCAAACCACACCTTGGTGAAATAAATTGAAAGCTAAGGCTGTTAACCTATAGGCCTTTGAAAGAATGGTTAAAACTAGAACTGATATAGGGCCTTTGAGCAAAATATTTAATGGCTGAGGAGAAAACCAAGATGACTATATATAAGATATCTTTCTGCCTTCCTCTTTCCACAGAGTAAAAATAATGAACAAAATAAAAGAGATTTGAAGTATGTATTTTACTATAATTATTAACACTTCAGTGTTTACTCTTTTTGTCAATCATTATTGAAAGTGCTTTACAAGTATTAGTCATTTAGTACCCATTGCAACTTTTTGAGGAAAACACAATTACTACCATCATTTTACCAATAAGGAGACTGATGCCCAGAGAGTTTAACTTGTTTAAGGTCTCACAGTTTATAGGTAGTCACTATGCCAATAAGCTCCACAAACTGGTCACAAAATTTGGGTAGAGTGACCCTCCATTGGAAAGACTTTAGGGCCACTTACAATAAGACTACAACCCATTATTACAAAGATGATAAATATGGACTGACACTAGATAGTCCTTTAAAAATCAGACATAGGGAGTTTCCAGTCAAGGGAGGCATAGGTAAATGTGGTACTAAAATCCTCCCACAACCACATCAAAACTGCAACCAAACTACAGAACAACCATAATTCAGAACCCCTTGAAATCTAGCTGAACGTAAGTCCTATAGAACTAAGGATATAAAGAAGAAGCCACTGAGACTGGTAGGAGAGGCAGAGATGCCAACAGGCTGGTCCCACACATATGTGAGGCGGTTAAAAATATTTTAGCTGCAGAGGTCCCCCAGAGAAGCCAGGGGTCCTAGCCCCACACCAGAACCCCTGGCCCAGGAAAAAGATATTTCATGAAAATGGAAACAAACAAACAAAGCAAAGGTAGCAATACCAATACCAGACAAAATAGACTTTAAACCAAAGGTTACAACAAGAGACAAATAAGGACCTAGCAACTCTACTTCTAGGTAGAGCTATCCAAAGAAACCCAAAATACTAAATTGAAAAGATATATACATCCATATATTTATTGCAGCATTATTTACAATAGCCAGGATATGGAAGCAACCTAACTGTCCACCAATAGATGACTGGATAAAAAAGAAGGGGTGCATAAATACAATGGCCTGGGGCGGGGAGGTGTGGTGGGCTAGAAGGGGTCAATGAGGGGGGGAACATGTGTAATACTTTCACAATAAAGATTAAACACACACACACACACACACACACACACACTGAGGTATCACCTCACGCCTGTCAAAGTGGCTATCATCAATAAATCAACCAACAAATGCTGGCAATGAAGTGGAGAAAAGAGAACCCTCATGCACTGTTTTTGGGCATGCAGACTGGTGCAGCCATTCTGGAAAACAGTATGGAGTTTCCTCAAAAAATTAAAAATGAATCTGCCTTTTGACCCAGTGATTCCACTTCTGGGAATATATACTATTAATCCCAAATACCAATCAGAAAGAATATATGCACCCCTATGTTTGCAGCAGCACTGTTTACAAGAGCCAAGATCTGGAAAGAGCCCAAGTGCCCATCAGTAGATGAATGGAGAAAAAAGCTGTGGTGCATTTGTACAATGGAATTCTACTTGGCCATAAAAAAAAGAAAAAAGAAAATGTTACCTTTGTGACAGCATGGATGGACCTGGAGATTATAATGCTAAGTGAAATAAGCCAGTCAGAGAAAGACAAATACCATATGATCTCACTTATAAGTGGAATCTAATGAAAAATAATTAAACTGACAAAATAGAAACAGAGGCATGGATACATGGAACAGACCAGCAGCTGTCAGAGGAGAGGAATGTTAAGAGTATTGGATGAAAGAAGGTAAAGGGATTAAGCCCTCCTCTCCCCCAAATGTATATATAACACAAAAAGTAGTGATAACTAGAGGGAAAGGGAGTATGGGTAGGAAGAGGTGGGCAAAGCAGGAAAGAATGGGGATGGAAAGGGGCTTTCTGTGGGGCAATGGGGGCATGATGCAGTGTGCAGATGATGTTTTATTGAGTTGTACCCTTGAAACCTGTATGTCTTTGTGAAGCAAGGTCACCCCAATAAATTCAATTAAAAGAAAAGAAGTGGTACATATATACAATGGAATATGATTCAGCCATAAAAAAGAATGGATTAAAAAAAAAGAGTGGAATGAAATCTTGCCATCTGCAACAACATGCATGGTAGAGCGTATTGTGCTGAGTGAGATTAAGTCAGACAGAGAAACACAAATGCCATATGACCTTCCCTTCCATGTAGAATCCGAAAAACAAAATAAATGAACAAGCAGAACAGAAACAGACTCATAGATACAGAAAATATTTTATGGTTGCCAGATGAGAAGGATGCTGGAGGGTTGGGTGGAAAAGGTGAAGGGATTAAGAAGTATGGCCCTGGCTGGTGTTGCTCAGTGATTAGAGTGTTGGACTTCTCACGGAAGTCTTGGGTTTGATTCCCAGTGAAGGGCACAAACCTGAGTTGCAGGTCTCAAACCCTACTCCTGATTGGGGTGGGTGTGGGAGGCAACCAATCCAAGTGTCTCTGTCATATCGATGTTTCTCTCTCCTCTCTCTTCCCTTCCATGCTCTAAAAAATCAGTTGAAAAACATCCTCGCTCCTTGGATGAGGATTAAAAAAAAAAAGAAGTAATACAAATTCTGTAGTTACAGAATAGTCATGGGGATATAAAATACAGCATAGGAAATATTAATATTCTAATAACTATATATGATATCAGATGGATAATAGATTTATTGGGGTGATCACTTTATAAGCTATATAAATGTTAAAAATGGGGCTGTACACCCCAAATATGATATTATATGTCAGCTGTAATTTAAAAAAATTAAAAACAAAATAAAATTTTCAAAAAACAACAACACACATGATAATCAATCAGATTTGAGGGACACATAATATGAAAAAGCTGCAAATGGATGTGAGTTGGCAGTGTGAAGATTACAAAAAGAAACAAAAGGTCATAGGCCCAGGAAACAAAGTTTATCAAATGTTCACTGAGTTTATCAAATGTCTACTCTGAAGGCAGCAAAAACTGTGATAAGAATTCATACAACGGACCATAATGCTGGGTAACATGTGGCCCTGGAGCCTGCTGGCAGTATAGCATGGCGCTGCAATCATGTGTTGGTGGGGGGTAAGCTTGAATATCTTAATGAAATCTGTCTCCTTTTAGGAAATTTACCTAAAACAAGAAGACTGGAAAATGTAATACAGAAGTCTACATTACCATTATTGTAAAATACATTTATATATAAAAAAAATATTAGGGGGAAAAATAGGCCTTGCTTATTGATAATTAATGAAGCATGGCTCTTTCAAAGCAGAGAAGGTAAAAGCTTCCCTGAAATCTGGCCAACAGCTGCTGCTAGGGCACAGGGAACACTGTACAGGGTAGAGGAGAATGACTGCAGAATCCAACAGCTGTGACTTTCCCATAGTGACTGTCACCTGTTTGGTTTTCTTCGACAGGACAGGAACTGGAGCTGTCTCCTGTTGCATCATTTCTACGTCTCCCCCTCCTTCACCATCTGATGCTTCTGAAAAATATAAAGTTTAAAAATCAGAAAAGCCTCTTACCCTTCCCCAATTGTTATCACTGCTAGTACAATCTTGGTATACGACCTTTCTAGAAGGATCTATCCGTTGATTTAGCAATTCCACCTCTAGGAAGATGCAGTTAAGGAAATGACCCAAAATGAAGCTGGAGATTTCAGCACCAAGATGGCAGTCTTATTTATAAAGCTGCAACATTGAAGATTATCCAGATGTCTAACATTAGAGGATGTTTAATGATGGAACACACACTCACAGTGATTTTTACAGATATTATTCTCCTCATGTTTAGATTTAAAAAAGCTAATGCTACTTAGAGGGGATTACAGGTTATGAGAAATTCTTATTTTGAATTTTTAAAATATTTCAATAATGGAAAAGATAAATTCTTACTCTAAGTATCAGGAAAAATAAAAGTTTTAACGCTTTTCCTGTTTATAAAGTTCTCTTGAAGAAGCATGGCAACCCTAAGTTCCTTACCTTCCTTAATGCCATACAGCCTTCCAGAGTATAGCAGTTGCTTTATAGAGACATTTGGAAACTTTGAAAGGTTTTACTCATTCCCTTTGAGTTTCCCTATATATATCAGTCAGCTCAAAATATGAATTTATGAGCAAACCTTGGTCGGAATTCAGATTTAGGTCCAAATTAACCCATCTGGTAGTACAAGCATTTAAAGTTTGCATACCACAATGATTAATTTTGTGTCAACTTGATTGAGCCACAGGTGAATACATATTTGGTTAAACATTATTCTGGGTATTTCTATGAGGGTGTTTCTCAATCAAGTAATACTTGAATGGGTATACTGAATAAAACAGATTGCCCTCCCTAATGTGGGTGGTCTCAGATATCCAACCAGATGAAGGACTGGAATAGGCTAGCCCATCTCTGAGTAAGAGAATATTATCTGCCTTTGGACTTGAACTGAACATGGGCTCTTCCTGCATCTGGAGCATGTCAGACCCTAGACTGGAACTAAACCATAGGCTCTCCTGGTCTCCAGCTTGCCAGTTCATCTTGCAGATACTGAGACTTGTCAGCCTCCATAATTGCATGAGCCAAAACCTTACTTTATATCTATATCTACCTATATATATGTGTGTGTGTGTGTGTGTGTGTGTGTGTGTGTGTGTGTGTGTGTGTATTGGTTCTGTTTTTTCTGGAGAACTCTGATTTATACACATACTTTCAACTGTGTAGCATGAAAAACAATTCTACCCAAAAAATGAAAAACAAAATAAAATTTTCAAAAAAATATTCACACAGGTAATCAATCAGGTTTGAGGGACACACAATGTGAAAAAGCTGCAAATGGATGTGACTGAGCAGTGGGCAGGTAGTGAATTAACAGGGAATTTTCAATGAGTGATTAAACTGGTATCAAAAGTATTTATAGAAGTTTTCCCTTTGGGGAGAAAGTATTAGTAATTATATTTTTCCTTATTCATCCTGCTAAGTACAGCTAAAAATCCTGAGCCTTATATATGAAACAAACGTAAGAAGTCTCTGAAAGGTAGAGAGAAGAAGGCAGACTGGCGAGGGATTCTGGCGCCCAATGAATAACATAAAGGTGAGCTCCTTGGGTTTTCTTTTTGCCTCATTATCTCAGACTTGGATCTTAAGAAGCATCAACTTGAAATTGCCAATTTAGGACCAGACGAAAAAGGCCCCAATAAATATCTTCTCTATTCAACAAAATAACCAGGAAAAGGGGCAACCTAGTAAGACTGAAAACTTTTAGACTCCAGCCAACACCACACAAAACTGGCCTTGTCCCCTCCAGCAAAGGCTGAGTGCGGAGCCTGGGTTTTCACCCTTGCAAGGCTGTAATGAGACTCTCTAACTCCTCCTCCACTGCCTACCAAGTGGGAATGGACCCCTGAAGGGATTTACATCCCTGAAGAGTGGTAACAAACCCGTGTTCCCTCCTCTCATCACCACCACCACTGCTGTAGTATTAATGGAGACCACATGGTGAGCCTGGACTTCCACCTCCTCCTGGCAGTAATGAAATGCACCTCTCACTCCCCACTAGGATATTATCAGAGTCCTAGTAAAGTCAGGACTTCTCATACTGGCCAATGGTAACAAGATAACATCCACACAAATAGTTTTAGCAACCACTGAAAAAGCTTTAGAAAGATACACTCAAAAACAGAAAGAATAAATAAAATAAAATTGTAAATATGTTCAAGTAACTCACAGGAAATTAGGAAAGGGAAAATAGACAAAACACAGCAAACAAACAGAAAAAATGAATAAAATAATATGGTAGATTTAAACCCCAACATATATATAATTATAATAATGTAAATGGCCTAATAACCACACTAATTTAAAGGTAGAGATTGACAGAATGGATTAAAAGAGATGAACTACATATATACTGATTACAAGAAACTTACCTCAAATATAACAATATAGACAAGTTGAAAGCAAAATGAAGGAAAAAATATAACATGCAAATATTGATCAAAAGAAAGCAGGACTAGATATATTAATATTTGGTAAGGCAGACTTAAAAAAAAAGTAGACTTCAAAGTAAATAAAATGACCAGAGAAAGAGGACATTATATAATGACAAGGGGTGAATTTGCCAAGATGACATAGCAATCTTAAATGCGTATGCACCAAACAACAGAGCTACAAAATATGAGAAGCAAAAAACAAACAAACAAAAACCTTATAGAAATGAAAGAAGAAATAAACAAACTTATGATTAAGTTGCAAACTTCAACAGTCCTCTCAGAAATTGAGAGAATGACTAAACAGAAAATCAGCAAGGATATATAGAAAAACTGAGGGACAACAGTAACCAACAGGATCTGATCAACATTTTGTAGAACACTGCACTCAAGAGTAGAATACACATTCTTTTCAAGAGTTATGGAACATATACCAATATAGATCATATTGTAGGAAATAAAACAACAAACTTAAGAGAATTGAAATTGATAAATAGCATGTAAAAAAAACCTACAACAAACATACTTTATGATGCAAGACTGAATGCTTTCCCATGTGTGGGAAAAAGATAGCTACTCTGAACAATATTATTCCACACAGTGCAGGAACTTTTAACCAGTGCAATAAGATAAAGTGAACTAAAAGGCGTAAACATCAGAAAGGAAGAAATCAAGCTATTCCTATTTGCAAATAACATACTGTTTTCATAGAAAATCTCAAGGCATCTTTAAAAACAACAACAAAAAATCCCCTGCTAGAACTAATTAGAGAGTTACCAAAGTTGCAGAATAAAAGATAAACATGCAAAAATCAATTTTATTTCTATATATTAGAAATGAGCACGTGAACAAAAAAAAATAAAAATAAAAATACAGTGCCACCTGGCTGAGGTGGCTCAGTAGTAGAGCGTCGACCTATGAATCAGGAGGTCACAGTTCGATTCCCAGTCAGGGCATACGATATGCCCAGGTTGAAGGCTCAATCCCCAATCGTGCAGAAGGCAGCTGATCAATGATTCTCTTTCATCACTGATGTCCCTATCTCTCTCTCCCTCTCCTTTCCCCGCTGAAATCAATAAAGATATATTTTTAAAAAATACAGTGCCATTTACAATTGCTGAAGAACTCCCAAAATACTTAGGTGTAAATTTAACAAAACATGTAACCATTTTTGCTTGCATGCTGAAGACCACAAAACACAGATGAAATAAACCAAAGAAGACCTAAATAAATAGAGATATACCATGTTCATAAATTGGACAATGAATCATAGTAAAGATACAAGTTCTCCTCAAAATGATATACAGGTTTAATACAATTTCTAATAAAATCCCAGCAAGATTTTCTCTAGATATATACAATTATTATAAAACTAGAGGCCTGATGCACAAAATTCGTGCAAGGGGCTCAGCCCTTGCAGCCGTTTGTATTGGCCATTGCAGCCCTGGCTTCGTCTGGAAGGTTGTCTAGAAGGACATCCGGAAGGTCGTTCAGCTGTCCAGTCTAATTAGCATATTATGCTTTTATTATTACAGATTTAAGTAGAATGGCAAAGGAACTAGAATAGTGAAAATAATTTTGAAAAAGAATAATCAAGTGAGAGAAATTAGTTTAGGCAATTTCAAGACTTACATAGCTATAGAAATAGAATACAGACCCATAAAGAGACCCATACAAATATGCCCTACTGATTTTTGACAAATGTACAAAAGCAATTTAATGAAGGAAAGGTCCTTTCAACAAATGGGGAAAAATGTATAAAACCTTTATAGTTTAGAAAAAAATCTGAATTAGGCAGAGTTCTTAATTTTGATACCAAGAGTACAATCAATAAAATAAATAATTAATGTTAGACTTTATCCAAACTGAAAACTTTTGCTTTGCAAGGACCTTGAAAAAACAAGATTTAGAGTGGGAAAAATAGCTACAAACCATATATCTAACAAAGGACAGACTAGTGTCTAGACAGCATTAAAAAATTCTCAAAATTCAACACTAAAAACCCAGACAATTAAATTAGGAAATATCAAAAGACATGAAAAGATATTTCACTGAAGTGAATACAATATGGCAAATAAGTACATTAAAATATGTTCCTCATCATAACACTAGGGAAATGAAAATTAAAACTATGAGATATTAATACGATAAACCCACAATAGCTAACATTTAAAAAATTGCACCAATACCAAATGGTGGTGAGTGAGGATGCGGAGAGACTGATAATTTATGTATTGCACTGGGAATGTAAATTAGTACAGACACTTCCATTCCACAAATGGAAAATAGTTTAGCAGTTTCTCATAAAAACTAAACCTGTAACTACTAGATAATACAGCAATTGTACTCCTGGACATTTATCCCAGAGAAATAAAAAAACATGTTTATACAACCAACTGTACATACATGTTTACAGCAGCTTTATTTATAATAGCCCCCAAATTGGAAATAACCAAGATGACCTTCAGTGGGTGAATGGTTAAGCAAACTGTGGTATATCCATACCATGGAATACT